TCGGCCCCCCGCTCCCTTTGGATTCGTGCGCCGACGCGAGCTTCGAGGACGTCGGTGCCCATGCGGGTGCCCCCGCGCGCCGCTTCGGTCGCTCGGTCGATTGGCGCTGCGCGCGCCAGCAGGTCGCCCCGTTCAGCGCCGCGGGGGCGGAGGCGAACGCGCCGGCCGTCGGCGAGAACGCGAGCGCTGCGGCAGCCGCCACTTTTGAGAGCATGGGGCTCCGAGTGAGGACGACGCTGCACGGAGTCAATGCCGCGGCGAGGCGCGCGGCAGAGGGGCGAGGTTCATGGCGGACCCGCGCATTGTCTATTAAGGTCAACGCCATCCGCTCCAGGATGGCACACGGTCTGCTCGAGTGGCATTTCGTCGGCGCCACCGAGCAGCGCGCGGACGGACTCGCGAAGCGCGGCGGGGCCCAGCGCGCGGCAGGGATCCGACGGCGCTTCGGCATCCGAGCTCTGGCTTAGGACTAGTAGTTATTTCTTCGTTGTATACATAGATTCGCGCACGGGCGCTCGCAGGTGCAAGGGCGCCCCCCGCGCCACTGCGCCAGACGGCGCGGCGCTTGCTGCAGCCGCGGCCCCGCCGCGGTTTCGGAGGAGAGGCGTGCGTGAGGGGTGTCTGCGCCGCTGCGCCCAACCCAACCGTTTTGGGCTCACTGAGCAACTCTCAATGTCGGCCGCATTATGTGGAGACCTTTGCATGTTGTTTCGCGCGGCGGCCGCTCTGTGAACGTCGTCCTGTTTGGCGCGCGCCCCGATGGGGCCATGTGGAGTGAACCGTGCGATATTCGGATGAGTGTGAAGATTGCAACTTGTCTGCCCCGCTGCCGCGCCTAAAATTTAGGATCGGCCGGCGCGCCGGAAATATTATGTAGCCGTTTTTAACAGCCGTTCCATGCAGCGAACGAACGCAGCTAGACACGATAGCATGCACCGCGTAGCTCGCGCCAGCTGGGTATTGGGGTCAACGGCAGTGTAGCTGGGCAGCGCGCGCGGCCCTCGGGGGAAGGTGGTGCGACCCTGCGCCTGCGTGCGCCTAGGGGCGGGGGCCAATCCATATGCAGTGCGACGCCACGCCTGCATGCGAATTGGTCCCCCGCGCAACTATCGTGGGCATTTTGGCACAAGTGACGGGCGGGGGGGGGGCATGCCCCCTCCCCCCCCCCCCCCATCGCACTTCCTCGCGTGGTGGCCCGGTGTGGCCGCGCCAGGCGTGGCGGCCGAGCCGCGCTCTCTCCTTGAGAGTTGCGGCTTGCCGAGGCGGGCCGATTACCTTTTGAGAGCGGCCCTCGGGGTCCAGCCGGGGCCCCGCTAGGGCTCTTTCTGGCTTATTCCGGCATCGCGGGCCGAGCTTGAAAATTACTTGGCTGCAGTCGCCGAGGGCTGTCGAGAGAGCGACGTGGAGTCCGAGATCAGCGATGAATGATCGCATGATACATGCGCACCCGCCGGTGGACCAGCATCTGCCGCCGCCCGCGAGACCCCCCCGGCCCCCGCCCCCCCGTCGGGGAAGGGGTCACAGGGAAGGGGCTTCTCTTCGACTCAATCACGACGTCGCTCAATTGGAAGTGGGAGACGGCGACGATGCGAGGCGGGGGGCGGCGACGGCCGCGCGCGCGGCGACGGCGACGGCGGCGGGGAGGGGGACAGCGAGGGGGACAACAACCATGGCGAACAGCACCGGGGCGGGAGCAGCGAGGGAGGCAACGCCCACGGCGAACAGCCCATTCCACGCGCCGAAAGGGTCGGCGGAGTCAGGGGTCTGCGCGGCAGCAGGAGTGTCGGGCCAGCGGCGCCCCCCCCACCAGCACTTGTACCCCGCAGCCATGTCAGGCTACATCCCGCGTCGCCGGTCCGCGCGCCACGGCGTGCCTCGTGTTCTCGCCCTTGCGACGCGCCCCTGCGGGGGCGGCGCGCGCCGCCCGCCGCTCATCGCGACGCCGACCGCCCTGCGCAGCCGTTGAGCTACAAGCTCTCCGTTGGCTCGAGCAGCTCGCGGGCGCCCGAGCAGCTCGCGGGCGCCCATCCAGGGTGGTGCCTCAGCGGCGCCCTAGTGTTTTTTCTTACTCGCCACCGGAACGCGCGCTGCTCTGGCTACCGCGGCAGGGCGGCCGACAGAGTGCCGCCTCGATCCCGCCGCCCCAGTGGGGCGGCGCGCCTCCGAAGGCGCCCGCGGCGCCTCGCGCGGATCGTCGCCCGGGGCGCGACGGTCGCCGATCCGCTGATCGCCGCGGGCCCGCCCCCGCCCAGGGCCCGAGCCCGCGGCGCCGAGGCCCCTCCGAATTCGGGCGCCGACCTTGCCTGCGGCGGGGCGGCGCGCGGGCGCGCCGCCCAGCCGCTCGTCTGCGCACTTGTGGATCTTCTCTACCCTCCCAGTGCTAACCGCCGAGGCCTGCTGCGCCTTCGCGGGGGGGGGGGGGCGCCGGGCGGGCGCCGGGCCGCCGGCGCGTTCCAATGCTGGCTTCCCCGGGCTTGGAGGCATCACCAGGGGGGCCCCCGCCAAGGCGCCGCCGTCCACGCCCGCCGGCTCAGCCGCGTCGGCGCGCCCCCGGACGCCGCCGAGGTCACCTAGGGGCAACTCGCAGCCGAGCCACCGCGCAGGAACGCCCGCCCGCTCCCCCGCGCCGCGGCCAGGCTCAGCCTCGCGCCCCAGACAGCGGCAACCGTCCCCGCGCGCCCCTCCCCAGCGAGGGCAGCGCGATCGGTGGCGCCGCCGAGGCGCGCCGTCGGACCTCCCATTGGTAGCGCGCCACGCCGGGCGGCGAGCTCTATGGCGCCGCCGGCCCGCCCCGGCGCGGGCCCGACCACGCGCGCCGCCCCCGTGCCGAGGGCCAGGGGCCACGTCGGAGGCCCCCCCCCCCCCTTTGCGCCCCCGCACAAGGCCCCGCCAGCCAAAGTCGCGCGGCACCTCCAAATTTACCGATGGGCATGGGGCCCCGGCCGCTCTCAGGGCCGGGGTCGGGATCTCGTCAGCGGCCGCGCAGCGTATTGGCAGGGCCCGGAGTGGGTCCAGGACGTCTCCACTTCTCTCGGGGACTTCTCAGATGAGGTCATCTGGATCTTCGGAAAAGACAAGAGCGACCGCTCTCGCCCAGTCCCGATCGCTGCCTGGCGCAGACGGAACGACGCCCATCCCGATTCTGCTTTGCCCCGTGCCACGAGGGCGGAAACCATCCCCCTCCTAGCCGACCAGCAGTGGCAGATCTGCCCCGGCACGCGGCGCCAGGCCAGTGGCGCTGGCTCCGCGGCCCGCCGCGTCTACTCCGCCACCAACCCCAGGAACGCCACTTGGTAATTTCGGCCACCCGCGGCCCACAGCCCAGCTGATGGCCCCGTTTGCGGCCGAGGCCCCAGGGCTACGCATGGCCATCTGCTCGGCCCAGGACGTGCCGGACGAGCGCCGAGCCACGGACCAAAAGGCGCGCCTCTACGTCCACAGCGGCCCGAAGCACCACGGCAGGCTCATCTACCCTCATGCGGTGGGACCAGGCAGCTGCGCTGCGCAGGTCCACGATCCGCCACGCCCGACAGTCCTTCGGAGTGGGCGACGTCGCCCTCGCCCACCTCCGAGCAGGGGTAGCCGACCCCGCCACCCTTGCGCGCGCGGAGGGCATGGGCAGTCACCGCCTCCGCAGCTCCAAGGCAGAGCGCGGCGCACAACCAGTTCAGCCGGACCCGCTCCCGCCGGCCGCGGCACTCCGCTCGAGGAAGTGCGGCAGCTGGAAGCCCACCCGCCGCCCCCGGACCGCAGAAGACCCACGTCGCGCCGCGGCCCTGGCCCGACTTTGCCAAGGCCGCAGTTGCAGCTCGGCCTGACAGCCCAATCGACGGCGACCCGGACCCACCTCTGCGCCGCAGGCAGCGCAACCCAGAGGGCCACCGCCCCAGAGGTGATCCAGCCCGCTCGCCAGCACCACGTGGCTCGGGGGCGCGCGACAGGTCTGCCGGGGCCCCCTTTGGCCCCCCCGACCACTTATCACACCGCTGGCCCCGACAGCGACGCCAGCGCGGACGCCTCGCTGGATGCCTCAGCCGGTTCCGACGAGGCGGACCCACTCGCCGACTGGTGCTGCGACTTCGACCCCGCGCAGGCCTACTTGGTCACGCCCTGGTTCACCTGTGTGGACCTCCCCCACGCGGCGGCCCCAGGCTGGCCTGTCTTCCGTGAGCCCCTCGACACGGTCGACCGCAGCTTTGTCCGAGGAGTCGCAGACCCTGTCCCGCGCGGAGACCTGGACGGCCACGATCTCCTCTGGGGTGCGGCGGTCCGGGGGCAGCGGGTCGTAGTGCTCGAGGCCATAGACTTCGACTGGATCTGCTTCCGCACCAGCGACCGCTGCTGGTGCGCCCCCACTGGCCCCCTTCGCGAAGTGGCGGTACCCCCTGGCCGCGATGCCCGTCCCAGCGTATTCCGGGCCGCGCCGCAATTCACCCAGGACGCCCGTGACGCAACAGCGCGTGACGCGGTTCCGCCTAATTCAGCCCCGGCGTGCACCAACAGTTTTTGGCGGGGCAGCACCCCGACGTACCGCCAACGCACCGTCCCAAACCATCGGCCCTGGGTCTGCCATTGGTGCGATAGGGCGCAGCAGCTACTCGAACACGAGACCGGCGCCCCCCCTTGCCAACTCGGCCAAGTGCCCTTGGTTGCCATGTCAGGGCACGCTCGAGTACCAGAACGAGCGGAGCTTTTCAACACCGCGCGGCTGGGTCCGCGCGCAAGGCAAGTAAAAAGACGACGGGGCGCGCGGATTCTCGCAACACGTGGCCGAACGTCACGCCCTCGACGCCTCTTACCACGGGGGCCTCCCCCAACGCATGTTTGCCCACATCACCAAAGGGGGCGCCTTTCGCACGACTCAGGGCTCCACTGACGCCAGGCACCATCGGCCCAGCGACCGCCAGCAGCGCCGCGCGCCCACGCTGGCATCCGCAATTAGGGCCGCTGCCACGTCAAGCAACCGGGAGCGCCCGGGCGCAGCCTCGTCAACTGCCGAGGAATCGTCACATTCGCCCCGCACACCCACACGCAGAACGCTTCTGCCTACAGCCTTGGCAACTCGCAATTCCGGCGGGCCTACCGCTTCATCACGGTGGCGCTCGACCACGCCACCACGGTGCAGTACATCATGCAACTGATTTCCAAGGGCAGGCTGGACGATGTCAACCTCTGGCGTCAGGCCAACATCTTCTGGCGAAGCCGACCCATGGACCCACAGGCCTGCGTCCTCGACGTGCTCACTGGCGACGACCCGTCAGCCGGGTCCGCGCCCTTCTGGGGACCCGTCCCAGAGCAGCGCGTCAGCCGCCAAAGGTCGAGGTCCGCAGCCCGGCTGCAGCACCTCAGCATCCTGGCACCACGAACGATTAAGCTCGTCGTTCCCGCCGCCGAACCCCATTTTCCGCCAGACGCCAAGGCGGACAACACAGTCAATCCTCACCGCCCGCGACGCGGAAGCGCTGGCCACATGCAGTTGCTGGCGACCTTTCGTCCAGGCCCAGGAGTCGCGGCCCACCCAGCCGGCCGAGCCCGAGGCTGGCCCGCCCACGAGCGACGACCACGCAGGCAGCCGCGCCTACGACTCGGGGCGCCTCTGTTTCCCCCCCTACTTCCTGGAATCCCCAGGGGGGAAGAGGGGGGGTTCGAACCCCCCGCCCCTTCCACGTTCTGGAGGAGGGGGGGGGGTTGGACCCTCCCCCCTCAATTTTTCCCTGCTGCGTCAGAAGACGCTCTTTCGGATGTGTTGAGGATGTCTCGAGAGAATGCTTGTTTTCACTCGTCCATGTCGCCCAGGCGGATGTCTAGCGTGAAGATTTGTTGAGGATGTCTCGAGAGAAATGCTTGTTTTCACTCGTCCATGTCGCCCAGGCGGATGTCTAGCATGAGGATGTGTTGAGCGAAACGCTTGCTTTCACGTGCCCATGTCGCCCAGGCGGATGTCTAGCATGAAGATTTGTTCAGGATGTCTCTCTCTCTCTCTCTCTCTCTCTCGAGAGAGAGAGAGACGTTTGTCTTCACGTGTCCAGGTCGCCCAGGCGGATGTGTCTAGCATGCAGATGTGTTGAGGATGCTTTGTGCGAGACGTTGCTTTCACGTGTCCAGGTCGCCCAGGCGGATGTCTAACATGAAGATGTGTTGAGGATGCCTTGTGCGAGACGCTAGCTTTCACGTGCCCAGGTCACCTAGGCGGATGTCTAGCATGAGGATGTGTTGAGGATGTGATGAGCGAAACGCTTGTTTTCACGTGCCCAGGTCGCCCAGGCGGATGTGCAACATGAGGATTTGTTGAGGATGTCTCTCTCTCGAGGGAGACGTTTGCCTTCGCGTGTCCAGGTCGCCCAGGCGGATGTGTCTAGCACGCAGATGTGTGAAAGAGCGTGTTCTACCGCTGCTGGCGGAAAACCGGGGGGGTCACTACCGGTTCGAACCCCTCCCCCCCCCCCTCCGGAAAACCGGGGGGGGTTTTACCGGTTCGAACCCCCCCCCCCCCCCCCAGCTCATCATGAAAAGGGGGGGGGGGTCACTACCGGTTCGAACCCCCCCCCCCCTCGAAAACCGAGTGGGGGTGCGGACAGTGGTGGGGACGGTGTTGGTGGGGACAGTGGTGAGGGGACAGCGGGACAGTGGTGGGGACAGTGGGGGGACAGTGGGACAGTGGTGGGGACGGTAGTGGTGGGGACAGTGGTGGGGACAATGGTGGGAACAGGGGGGACAGTGGACAGTGGTGGGAACGGTGGTGGTGGGGACAGTGGTGTGGGGACAGTGGGAATGAGGTGGAAACATTGGGACAGTGGAGGGTACAATGGTGGTGGGGACACTGGTAAAGGCGTCGGCGAGGACGGCGGTGGGACAATGGGACAGAGGTACAGTGGGGACAGTGGTGGGGACAGTGGGGACAGTGGTGGGAACAGTGGGACAGCTCAGTGGGACAGCGGAGGAGTCAGTGGGACAGTGGGGACAGTGGGGATAGACAGTGGTTGGGTCCGTGGAGACAGTGGGGAGAGTGGAACCGTGGTGGGAACAGTTGTGGGAACAGTGGGGACAGTGCGACAGTGGTGGGGGCACTGGTGGGGACAATAGGGACGGTGGTGGAACCAGCGGGGGCAGCGGTGGTGAGGACAGTGGTGCTGGGAACAACAGTGGGGGATGTCATGCGAGCGGTGGTAGGGACCGGGAGTCGTTTGCTGGCGGTTGCGTGGGGGGGGGGGGTCGAACCGGTAGTGATCCCCCTCCGGTTTTCGAGGGGGGGGGGGGTCCAACCGGTAGTGACCCCCCCCTTTTTCCGGACCGGAGGGGGGAGGGGGGGAGGAGTTCGAACCGGTAGTGACCCCCCCCCGGTTTTCGAGGGGAGGGGCGGGGGGGGGATGGGGTTAGGGGAGGGGGAGGGTTTTGCCGGAGGGAGGGAGAGGGGGGGAGGGGGGTTCCAGCAGGGGGGGGGGGGGTTTTTCGGAGGGGGGGGGCCCCGGGCTCCGGAGGAAAAGGTTGGCAATTCTCCACAGTAAAGCGGCGGTGGATCACGCTCTCTCAGATGTGTTGAGGATGCCTTGTGCGAGACGTTTGATTTCACGTGTCCAGGTCGCCCAGTTGGATGTCTAACATGAAGATGTGTTGAGGATGCCTTGTGCGAGACGTTAGCTTTCACGTGCCCAGGTCGCCCAGGCGGATGTCTAACATGAAGATGTGTTGAGGATGCTTCGTGCGGGACGTTGTTTTCACGTGTCCAGGTCGCCCAGGCGGATGTCTAACATGAAGATGTGTTGAGGCAAATGCTTGTGTTCACGTGCCCAGGTCGCGCAGGCGGACGTCTAACATGAAGATGTTCGGGGGATGCTTCGAGCGAACCGCTCGCTTTCGTGTGTCCAGTTCGCCCAGGCGGATGTCTAGCATGAGGATGTGTTGAGGATGGGTTGATCGAAACGGTTGGCTTTCACGTGTCCAGGTCGTTCATGCAGTTGTCTAGCATAAGGAGGTGTTGAGAACGTCTCGAGCGAGACGCTTGCTTTCACGTGTCCAGTTCACGCAGGCGGGTGTCTAATATGAGGATTTGTTGAGGATGTCTCGAGCGAAACGCTTGTCGCAGTAGAATGCGCCGCAGTCCAACCCCGCCCGTCCGTGGGGCGCCTCCTGGCGCCCTGGCGCGCTCCCTGGCGCGTTCCTTGCGACGTTCAGGCGTGACGTGCCCTGGCACGTCCCCTGGCACGCCACTCGGTCGCGTTTCCTGGCTCGTCCCAAGGCGTTTCTCCTGCCCGTTCCGTGGCGGGCCCTTTCCAACGTCCCTTGGCATGACGTCCTCTGGCCACCCCATGGCACGCGCTTTGGCACGTCCCGTGGCAGGTCCCTGACACGTCCAGGGCACGGTCCCTGATGCGTCCCCTGGCGCATCCCCTAATGCGCCATTGGCACATCTTGTGGCCCGTCCTTGAGCCTGTGCCCCGTGTCGAGTCGTTACGTTTCGGAGCTGAGTCGGATTTTGAGGTCGACTTGACTGGACGTCCTCCACGTTTCCACTTTAACTAGCTCTGGGGCGGCTACTATGTCCCCAGGCAGCTCGAGCTTACGATCCAGATCAGTTCGGTCAGGACTCGAATGCCAAGGAGGACTCCATCCACAGTGCTACAGAGCACAATCGCAGCATGGCACGTCGCAAATCAGCACGGACAGCACAGCACAGCTTTCGGCACGGTACACCAAGATCGATGCATTCAGCATTGCAGATGCCCGTCGCCCAATCAGGTGTCTTGAAAACGTTGCCATGCTTCACATTTCCATATCCGTTTCCGGGTTCGTGCGTCGATCATGTGTTTGAGGGGCTTGGTCAGTATGTCGCCTTTGTAGTGACTTGCTTCCTTTAAGTGGGGGATTAGCTAGCTTGCGTTGGCTAGTCTCATGGACTCTCTCGGGATTGATTATCTCTGCCACGGGCGTCGTATCAGGTTGTTAGCGGTTGGCGCCGTGGGGGCCATGGCGAAATCCAACAGCCCCGAGATATGCCGATCCGTTCGCTACTGCTAATGAGGCCTCGTCGATTGCGGCACGGCTTGCGTTCTATAACCGACGGGGCACAGGCATATTCGTTTGAATCCCGGGCTCGAACGGTATGTCTCCATACTGTGTGTCTGCCTTGCCCGTCGGTTCTCCTTCTTCCGCCGCCGTTTCGGCCCAACTGCGCGGCAGGGTGGCCGCCCTCCGTGCCCGCATTGGGCGGGTATTCGACCCGCGTTCATCGTCTGTTCGCCCAGGCAAAAGGTATATCTTATTTCGCAGTCCAGTTTCATAGTTCCTGCGTCGGCCCTCTCCGTCCCCATCTTGATGCTTCCACTTCCCCAGCTACCTGTTTACTCCTCCTCGTTGATTCGTCTTTTGCGATTCGCCCTGTCTTCCCATCCATGTGTGACACGTGGGCGAGGGACACGTGAGTTGCCCACACCCAACGAGTGCCTTGTCAGCTATGGCGCCCCCTGTTCCCCTCAGAAGCAGGACTGAAATCTGCCTCCTTCTGCTCTTCAGGGGCGAAGCAAGGACGCGCACGTACATGAATCCACGTTTGTTTGAATAATACGCATTGCGCGAACGTTTGTATCACGGTGCTGATTTTGCGGGCTTGGGGGGCGTGTTGATGTACGTGGGTGGGCGCGTACGTTTTTTTGTGTGGTGTCCCTCTGATTCAAAACCATTAAATGGAGGTCCTCCACTCTTTGCCTCGCCGCCGCAGCAGCCTGACTTCAAGTACGGCCTCGCCTTCTCTATGGTGGTGGTCGTCGGTAACGTCATCATGTACGAGGCGGGATTCGGCGACTCACGACGCGTTCTGAGCACGCGCGCCCGTAGTGATCTCTGTGTTCCATATGATGTGTTTTCGAGGTGTTGGCCCCGTCATTGCGGAGTCTGCTTGCATTTGGGCGAAGTGGAGGAGGAGGGGAAGGAGGAAGGACAATCAGGAAGAGGTGGGGGAGGAGGAAGGGGGGAGGAGGAGGATGATGCGGAGGCGGAGGATGAGTGGCTGTAAGCGCAGGTGGAAGGGCTGGCCCCAGGACGTAGTTAGACTTTTATCTTGCGAGAGGTGTTCCGCAATTTCTGGTGTCAGACTGGCGATTCTATAGGCTTACGCCACATCCAGTACCGCCGACCCCTTGTATTCCTTGTGGTAGCAGCGCGAAATCGTCAAGCATCATTAGTCGGTTTCTCTCGTCTTGCAATGTCTGCTCCCTGCAGCGCGGCATTCAATGCAGCTTACCTTTCGTCTGTAACCTTCGTTTAGGATGCCATATCTTATGATAGCATTCAGTGCAGCTTACCTTACGGGATCTCGCGGCACGAAGGCAGTTTTGAAGCCACTGGGGGGCATCAGACGGC